CCGCATACACCTGTGGTCCGGAGTTTTGCAAATATCTCAGCATCACTGAAGTTGTTCTGGGAATAGTTGCTATATTCCCCATCACCGAATAAAATTGTTGTGCTGAATTTAAAGAACTTAACATCCGAATTCTACTTAATAGTATGAAAACATTGATGAGGTTATCATACAGTCATTTCTAGTAGGAGAGGAATGAGGAGGTTTATGTGAAATGGTAACTGTATGTGAAGTGAAGAAAGAGAGGGAGAGAGACAAAAAGAGAGAGAGATGAGAAAGGGAGAATGACTGCAAGCGTACATCATTCCCTAGCAGAGTTCTACACATTTTACGTAACCGACGAATGGGACGATGCGAGCATCATCCCAGTTGGATTCTTCTCTTCTCTTCTGTTTTCTAGACTCGGATCGTTGCGATTACTCGAATATTACTACGACAGAATAAGTAGTGATGTCTAGGAATAGGGTGACATGCGTGTGGAAGGACACAGTAGCGCAAATAGTGAATATTATTCGCGTGAGTCGATGGTATGTGTTAGACAATAGTTGGTAGGTAGGGTTGCTGAGCTAGGATTTGGATGGTCGTCATCATACGTTAGAAATTGTTGGAGTTCGTAAATAGCAGAGCTCGTTCCATGCTTGTTATTGTTATGAGTAAGCAAATGTTTATCATTAGACTCGGATGATTGAACTGAGTGGACGGCGCGAGTACGTGCTCGCGGTCGTAAGTTATAACGTTCTCTCGATCTTTCGTTTAGTTCATCCTCGTTTTTGATGTCGTAACTTGGGCCAGTATTCGACTCCTCGTTAGTATTCAGAGATTTATTTGGTAGGGTGTTTCCCAGTTCTAAGGGTACAAATAAATTAACAGGTCTTCTGATGATTCGCCCATTAGGTAGCTTAACGTGTGATTCCCGTATGTCTCCACTCTCTGACGGTTGGTGTTTTATGACACGGCCCATTCTCCAGGTATTTCGAGGAAGGACCAGTTCGTAAGTTAGTGCCACTGTGCTAGTGGTTTGAGGGATTGTAGTGCCTCTCTTTTTATTAAAACTAAGTATATTTGTTTCACGGAGGCTATTGAGGTACTGTTGGCTCCAAATGGTCCAATGCCGTTTCGTTAATTTGTTACTTGATGTTACATCTTCTGTCGCTTGCTGTCTGGTGCGCAACAGAGCTAGTTCGTATGGAGGAATATAACCTTCATCGTCTTCTTGGACACTTGTGGACTCGAATGGATATGTTAATATTATATCGCGGTGGATGAAATCGATTGGACACAAGATTACTAGGTCGTCAGGTTTTTCTTCGATGTACGTGAGCGGTCTGTTATTTAGGCATTCCTCGATCTCTACCAAAAGAGTTGTTAATTGTGAAGTTGATCGTCTTCTGCAACGCTTTATAAAGAGAATGTTTCACTGACTTCATAAGGCGCTCATAAAATGCCGCCTGCCACGGAGCATAAGGTGTTATTGTTCTCCACGTGACTGCTCTGGTTGCCAATGTCTTCGTAAACGAGGTATCATTGGTTATTGGAGCAATAGTAGTTCGTAAGATTTGTTCCACTAGAGTGAAGTTCGATGCGTTATCGGGAGTGATCGTGTTTGGTACACCCCTTCTAGCAAAGAATCGACGAAGTGCTAATAGGAGTTCGTCATTTGTGATATTTTGAACTAATTCAAGATGTAGCAGCCTTGTGGCAGTACACATAAGAATAATTCCATAGCCTTTCACTAAATTATGCATTTTTCATTGACAATGGCCCGAAATAATCTATTCCAACATGTTCCTTTGCAGCGAAAAATTCCATGTTGATCTTTAACGATACTAAAGGCATGAAGGAATCTTTTTGACATCCCGGGATAGGTGTTTCGTTGGTGGTTTCGTAGGATCGCTCTTAGTGCCGCTTCGTATTCGACTACCCTAATATATGATTGCGAGGATGCTAACTCGATCTCTAGGATAGTGCGGCGAATTCATTCTCGTAGTTGAGGTTTCACTTTCGCGGTCACTTTATTGGAAGCCGATTGTGGAATCTCAAGACATATGCCACTGCGTTTTGCTTCGTTATTAGCCGATTGTGTCTTGACCAGCTCAAAATTCCAGATCCGGTTGGACAAAAGTGGTCATTACGCTGGGGTTGCAGTTTATTTCCATATCTTGTGGTATCCTAAAGAGGTTGATTTCCTTCGGCAAATCTGACACTCTAAGGAGATCGGGTTCTATCCACCAACAATAGCTCTTTAACTGGGACTTAATCCCCTGGTTGCGCAATCGGCCAGATTTTGATCTGTGGACACGTGGGCAAATTGAATGAGATTTTGCAAAGCCTTATCTATTCGACGTATTTCCCTGATGCGGTTTTTTACTACTACTCCCACTGATTTTCTTCAATTTGGTGATCATATCCAACTTGGTGCAATTTTAGAGTCAGACATAATTAGTATCTCTTGAATACATATATGGTTTTTTTAAAGTTGTATGTATTGAGTGGGCTAGACGGACTGCCACAGTTACAGCATTTAACTCAAGCTTTGGAATAGTGATAACGTAGTTGATTGACTGTAGTTTAGATTTTCCCATGAGAAGAAACAAATGATTATTTGGTTCCAAGTAGGCGCAAGTTGCCATACATTCTTTGCTGGCGTCCGCAAAGAGGACTAGTTTGGCATCATGTTCGAGTTGGGCAACACATCGCGGGATACAGATTTCAAATCCATTTAAATTTTTGACTATTTCTTCCCATTCGTCGGTATGTAGTTTTGATAGCGGTGTGCTACACGTATAATTGAGGTTCCAAGGCTTTTGAAGAAATTGTTCTCCTCGTAGTGGCGTGAGTAGGAACGGCGAACAATTGAGGCCAAAAGTTACCCGTGTGAATCTGTAGGTAACTACGTTTTTTGGCTCGCAAGGTTGTGAGATGTCACAAATCCATAGAAACCGTGTAGCATCTCTATCTTGCTCGTTGAGTCGTACTTGCAAGAACGCTTTCTCTATGTCCACAATCATTGCAATATTTCCTATGCGAAAATGAAGTAGAATATCGCTTATTCGAGGAAGGAAGACTGGCCTCTGGTGGAAAACATTACTTAATGAGTGCGCTAGTACTGTATGCGCTGATACATCGTAAACGATTCATAATTTTGTGGTTTCCTTATGTGGAGTTACCACGGGGCGATGCGGTAGGTAGTGAATAATTACACCTTGTCGGCGTATCGGTTCATCGACTTCCTCAATAATGTTCTTATTTAGTTGTTGTAATATCGTTTCGTTATAATTTTCTAGCATGCGAGGATTTTTGTCAGTGTGGCGGTTGTTGTCTGCAATCGCCGAAATGCCATGCATTTGTTCTCAGGGAGTGTAGTTGAATTGTTTTTCCACGGAAGCTTCACATAATAACCATCGTCACGTCTCTATCGCTTTTGCAAACTGATCCGAAAATTCAGCATTTTACTGCTCTTGTTCTTGTATTTTCGATCCCGTAAATCCGTTAATTCTTGATGGTTCCAGTGTTCAAAAATCCTCACATGATTATTATTCATAAAGTTGAGGGCTGGGTACTGTAGTCTCTATGATAAGGAGTGTATTTTCTTGCGATTTAATGTACCGCTTGTGGTTGGCTCATACTACCAGATAACCTAGTTTAGAGGGAATTAACACTAATTCCGATGGTAATGTTTTGTTTTGTCCTAGGTTACTATCAAGTGGAGAAAATACATCTGAACATCCGAGCAGGATTTGTGGATGCCACGCTGTTACAGTCAGGATCGATCGGCAGTTTAATATTAATGTGATGGAAAAACTTATCCCTTTGGCTGAGAGGTATACGCTCTAGGAGCTTGGTGATAGCCTCGATCCTGGTTACTGTGATTTAATGTTGTGTTCAATAGACATCCCACAATTTTACTGTGGTAACTCCACAGTTCCTTTTCATTTCGTTAAGAGCTGCGAATGTGTTAATGGATAATACTACGAAGTCAATATTTCGTAAATAAAGACGTTCATCCAATTTGTTGGTGATAAATGAACGGTCGGGTACCTTCTTTCATTGCGTAGAGTATGACTGTATCATTCTGATAGTTTTGCTGGGATTCTACTGTATTGATTCTTGATGGCATAGTCTTCTTGCTTCTCATAGTGTTGAGAGGCCCATTCCGTTTGTCTCTTTGGCCTGATTCTGGTTGATTAAGCTGTTCTTTCGAAGGTTGTTGCTGCTTACAAATGGACGTGTAATGTCCACGTTTACTGCACACTCGTCAGCACCCGCCTCTGCAGGTCGATGTTTGGTGAAACTTCGATCCACAGTTGAAGCAAAGATTCCGATCTTTTATAATCTGTACTCTTTCTCCATACGTTCGCACTTTTTTGCAGCCAATTGGAAAATGTCCTACGGTTTCACAATAGGAACATGGATATATCTTACTTGTGGACATGGGAGTTTGATACACAAAAGGTTGCTGTAGGGATCCATTTCTAGTACCTCTCAAGTCTGATGAGACACTGACGTTTCTGCCCAGCTGTTGTTGTGTTTTGAGCTCCTTGCTTATATATTCATTGATAGAATTTAAAAGATCTTCAGTTTTGTATATTGTGTCCGATTCTCGACTCCTTTCATTCAGTGCGTGTCTTTGAATCTCTCGTAAATTTCGTAAGAAGTTGATTTTGTAGGTACGTGGTGTCTACAAATTCTCCATTGTGTCCCAATTGGCTGATTACGGAAAATAAATGCTCGCACAATGTCTGCTCATCTTCAAGGCGGTCGCTGTTCGCTTTGGTCGTTTGTACTCTGTTAAGTAGTTCGTCCACCAGATCTTGTTTGTTGCCGTACTTATGCTTTTGATAGGTGATAACCATCTGGTAGGATTCTCGCGTTACTCTGTATTGGTTAACGAAAGTTTTTGCTTTTCCTTCAAGAGAATCTAATAGATAGTTTATTTTCAAGAAGCCATCCATTCTGTGTGAGTGCAATGAGTGGTTGAACGCTTCCCAAAATGTGTCCTACTCTCATAGTTTTCCGCTGAATTTTGAAACAGCGATAGGTGGCAGGTTTACTGCTGGAGTACTGGAATTTGTGCTACTCGAAACGTTGTTTTTTGCATCTTCTAAAGCGTTCTTTAGTTTGAAGAGCTTAAAGAGACAACATGCCGCCCTATCAAGTAGCTCAAGTGTTTTCTCGGTGCTTGCATTAATTCTCTCACATGCATCCTCTACTGATGGGATGTTAGAATCGAGATGATCCGCTTCTTCACTATACTTATCCAGTGCTGTCGGGATGTTTTCCATTTCAAACTGAATGGCAAATGTTGCATCCGTGATCCTTTTTCTTGGCGTATTGACGTAGGAAATGCGGTTGACTTCATCATAGGGAAGCTCTACGTGGGACAATGTTAAGTCTTCGCTATCGTCAAAATTACTCGGAAGACGGTTAGTAGCCCTTGTTAAAGCCCCTTGACGTGAGGACATTGAGGAAGTCATTATAAAGCGAAAGTAAACGTACTGGTTTTCCGGTTTGAGACTGATTGTCTTGCTACTTTGTTAACAATAGCTTGGTCGTTGCACCAGACTTTACTAATTTGGTCAATGCACCAGAATAATGCAGTTGCTAGTGGAAAATAGGTTTGCATTACAAGACTGTTTGTAGCGATCGAAGTTCTTTAGGATGGGTTCAAAATATTTACGTACTACGACATTTGTTAGGCAGCTTGAGAAACAGTGGATATGATCCTTACTTCAGAAACATACAGTAATAGAAAGACAGAAATAGATATAGAAAGAAATAGAAACTATTCTGGGAATAGTTGCTATACATGCTGAGTTTACCATATAATAAATGACGGGCAATTTGATGCCAATGACCAAAGCCGACAGCATCAGTTTTCTTTTCAAGTAACCATTCATATCAAACGAGATACGTTGCGCTATTAGGGTGTGCCTAAGAAGAAGTGGTCTTGAAAATTTTGTGCTATGGGCGTGCGCTTTGCAATCGAGCATGCTTTTTTCGTTTGCGTTACATATTTGCGATTGGGTCCTCAACTTTTAAACTGTAGCATGTTCACTCATTACTACTGGCTCGAATTTCTTCGATCAGAACCTACTTGTCTACAACAGTAAAACTTAAGTTGGAAATGAACCTCGTTTCCAGTTTCGAGAAGCGTTTAGGACCACTTTTTTCGAAAACACACCATATGTCAAGGTGTTCTATTAGAATTTTTTGGGCTAACCTCACGCAATAATTTTTTGTTTTAAAAGCCGCCTACCAGTAGGAAACCTAAATTTCGACAAAGTGCTTTTCTAAGTCCACATAAGACACAAAAACCCAATGGTGCTGATTTTGGAGAATCTGTTAGGATCCTAGCGCAGGAATCAAAAACGTCAACGCGTAACACTTTTTGAGACGTCTTGGATAAATTTCAAAAATCCAAAGATGAACCGGAAAGACGGGTGTTCCACTATCACACGTGACCTTGCGCTTTATTGATTTTTTGACCTGGATGGGTCTCACTCGTCACCCCATGTGAACAACACACGGGTGGTCCCAAACGCCACTATGCAGTAAATAGTTCTTAAACAAAATGGCATTCATTTGTATAATAGATCTTTATTAACACTACAAATATTTTACAAAATTATAAGCCTATTGTTACATAAAATACGTCTATGCTCTAAAGAAGTTGAAATCGCCGAAATGTCAGTCATCGAACATATATGTCATCGAACAACAGCAACAGCAGTTACAAGAACAACTAATACCAACCTGCTGTTAGTTCAACAAAGGCAGTTTCTAAGAACTTCATGTACAAACTGGTAGCGCCGAGGCTTGTAGAAGGTCGGTTCTTTAAGCTCTATATATATATATATATATATATATATATATACATATATATCTGCACGCATGTAGCACAGTGGTTGGTTAAAGGTGCCTTGTACTATAAACGTTGTGGGTGATTCGATCCGCGCCCCAAGATTACCCATCCTTCCGAGAGAGGCAAAATGGCACTATCAGAGCTGTTTGGAAGGACAGAAACACTGATTTGTTAGGTGGATGGGTTATAACAAATAACTGTAAAAGCCAGATATGCATTCATTCACCTATAACGATGATAAACGGAGTAGAATGCGTGTTACTTCCCTGAGAGATTGATGAACGCCGAACTCTTCATTCATATATATATATATATATATATATGTATATGTACAGGTGTATATATATATATATGTATATATAAATAGAGGCGGAGAGAGAAAGAGAGATAGAGAGGCGAGGCGTTCGACTTTTGTGCATTCCTTAGGGATATATCCGTTCATCAGTTGAGCATCGTAGGGAAGATTTATTACATCTTTTGCCTATAATGGCTTGCGATGACTTACTGATATGTCATGCCAATGATATTATCCTCCCAGACAAATCTGGCACCCATTTGCCGAACCGCAAAAGGTGGAATGCTTAGTGTGCCTGAGGCACTGGGTCAAATCAGCGACCACGTCTGTATTGTAGGGTTCCTCTAACCACTGCGCTGCACGCATGCATAAAAGATTGTTACTACAACAATTACGTTGTTAACAGGAGTGTTGCGATAAGTTCGGATTTCATAGGAAATAAAGGAGGCATTCATTGAGTGGATTTGAACAGAATAACATGGAAATAGTAAATTCATTCTCACGAATATAACAGCAATGTCATCAAGTTAGGCATGGCATGAAGCAACAGGTTAAACGTGTTCTTACAAATTTATCGAAATCGACGGGTCAAAGGAATACAAAAGAGAGGACCTCGATGAAAACGTAGATGAAGACGTCGACGAAATGCACGACAAAGAAATCCATTAGGTAACGCCTAATATTTCGATATAACAATGAGATATAACACAAGACAGGGGCGCGTGTTGCGCAGTGGTCGAAGGTGCTCTGCAACACACACGTGGAATCGATCCCGCGCTCATGACTCACCAGGCCCTCCATCCCTCCGTAGTCGGCAAATTGATTTCAGACTTGTCTGGGAGGATAGCAGCACTGGCTTGATATATCGGCAGAACACCGCGAGTCATTGTAAAGGCCAGGTACAAATTGAATCACCTCCAATGATGCCCAGTGAAGTCGAATGCATGGCCCATCCTTCAGGGATTGATCAACACCGAGAGCTTTATCCTTTATTTTTTTATAGCTCAAGAATGAATTAAAACTGTCTGAAATAAATTTTTAGCTAACTGGATGATGCATGGAAGCAAATGCGAAATTCGCAGTAGAGATAAGTTTATTGTTGTTGAAAATGCCTCGATTGCTAAGCAGATAACCTTTTAGTACAGAGAATATAATGCGATCTCAATGTTGGAGCACACTTTTGTTTCGAAGACGGGCTTTTTCACTAGTAATAAAATAGAGAATAGGTCGATGAATGACCAGGTGGTGGTTGTGAGGCCGATCTCGGATTACACGTTGTCACATATACTGACGCAGAACAGCTATGATAGCAACCCCGTTGCACTGTATGTTACGAAAAAATCGAAGCACTTATTAAAATCTCTTACAGAGGTAGTTGATTTGATGGTCCACATTACGAAACTGTGAAGCAATTGTGTTCGATATCTACTTCTCAAAATGGGGTGCTGTCTTTTGAGAAATGATTTTGGGTGCCTTCGAAATTCTTAAGGTCAAGCGGCAATAAGTCTTTGTCCAGTTATTTTTACACTGGAAAAATTGCATCGTTAACTTTTTATTTACCGTCTGTTTTTTTTTTCTGGCGAGTGGATGTGGAGTGCGAAATACAAACACAATGTGCTGAGATATGGGCAAAACTCGAGACGTCAGTTGGACTTCGAACCTGCGATTACTCTTACTGGAGGCTGACGTGCTATCCACAAGACCAGCCGAAGCTCTTTCTTTGCCTTTCTCTCAGACATGTTTTCACTGTCTCCATGTAATCGTCGATCACTCTTCAACGGGAGTTAAAGAAAGACAAGAGAAAAAGAAAGACACAGCAAGAGTCTCGGTTGCTGTGGTTGATAGGACATGTGCCTCCAGTAAAGGTAGTTACGGATTCGAAGCCCAATTGATGCTCCAAGTTTTGCACAAATGTCAGATTTCTGTTGTTGATATCTCTTTACAGATTCAATGCCGCTCCGTGCTTGGCAAGGGCACCGTTCCAAGTGTCATACTTATGTACCTTGCTGTAATGCACATCGTAGACTAATGAAGACTCTAGCGATTCCTTTCTTAATTCCCGAATGCGAGTAATTTTCATTGTGTCCGAACTTCATTTTCGTATTGAATCATTCCAAATAGTTCGATTTTCCTACCTCTAGCTATAGTTTTCAGTGTTATCTACGTATTCTTCCACTTACGACATGTTGTGTACCTCGTAGACACATTGAGCGTATTTGATACAAAAATCACGACCAATACTTTACATAATTATTCTTGCCTTTCAAAATTCACAGCATAAATAAATATTATTTTGCATCTCCAGAATTTCGTGCATCATTCGTATGGAGAATGTTCGCTATCTCTTTACGCACTTCGTACAACCTTTGAAGTGCCTCTACTCATTTCGGAAGCTTAGTGGAAAGCATAGGACAACATCGCTGTTTAACACCTGCACAGTTGTAAAAGCACTAGCTGGGAATGAAAGCCTTTCTTTGCTATCACGCGTCTCCAAAAGATGTGTAGTAATCAGCATCTGCCTGTAAAGCTATTCGCGAGCTCACTCATGCTTCGTAGTTCTTGGATATAATAAGCCTATTTAATTTTAAATATGGATACTTTGCGTCCTACACCATTGTTTTCTTGAAATCACTCTTTAATCTTCACGAGATATACAACCAACAAGTACGAGGCTCCGAAGTGGAACTACTTCGAGCGGCACTACGAATCAAGCAGAACGAGATGTTTGTCAGAATGAAGAAGTGTGCTTGAATGAGAACAGTTGGTGGGTCAATATTGATATGCGATTTTATTAGGTCTAATGCCAAAATATCCTTACAGTGAAAATTCGAAAATCTTTTGAGTAATTCGCATGTTTCAGCTTCAAGAAACAACCGCAAGAAAATTCTCTACGCTTCTGATAATATTCAAAATAGGGATGATATTGCACCAAGAAAACCTAGGGTCACCGTGATTGGGGGCAAACAATATCCGAGAGTGCGCGTTCGCTATTAGAACTGGCCCAAGCTTTGCACCATCACAGCCTATTTCTAAAACGATCCCTGCGTAGGATAGCATGCAACCTTTATGAGCTTCAAGATCGACTCCGCTACCAGGCTAAACAAGAAACATCAAATAGAGATAAAAATCAAGAGGCGGCGGCACTACCACCATCTCCTTTTCCTAAAACGCTTTTAGACAGCAGGACCCTAACGATGGAGTTGATATAAAATTCCGCGTTTTCGGACGGCGTTCTCAAGACCCTTAATCACTACCGCGATAGAAAGTATATCTCTAACCTTACACGCGCATAAAAATGTAGCATGCGAAAAATTAGG